GGAAAGAGGAAGCGACAACTTATGTCCAGCCTGTGTCCTGCAGAATGAACTTCACATGACCAGACCTCTGGGCAGGGCAGGGGTCGCACCCTCGGCGAGGTTCTTCTAGGTTAGGACAGTCTACCTTGATACAGCAGAAATATAGAACACTGGTTCTAGTAAAATAAGTTACATGAAAAGCTCAGCTAAATAGCACGTGAGCAACATCATGATTTCAGGCTAACGCTCTGGGTCAGTGGCCGCCAGGTGGTCTCTTCTGATGTTTGTGACTTTCCCTCCCTGTCCCCTCTGGCATCTCAGATCCCAGGATGGGAGTGCCTCACCCTGGGCCTGGAGCTTGGCCAGCTCGTCACTCAGGGAGTCATAGGACTCTTCCAGGTGCCGCTTCTTCAGCTCCACGCTCTGCATGTATTCGGTAAGTGAGCGGATCTTGGCCTCGTGCTGGTGGAAGAGGGTCGGTGAGAAGAGGAAGATGGATGGAGCTAATGACACAACTGCAGGCAGTGCAGACCTCCAGTAACTCCAGCTCTCCAGCCCTCCCCTCCTGCTTCCGTGAGGATGCAGGGTCAGAGGCCATTCCTCTGGACACCCTTCCTTTAGATCCTCTCGGCCCAGAGGCAGTACCCGCTGACCCTTCCCTTCTTTGGCCTCCCTCCCACCACCCTAGCTCTCCTGTCCTTGCTTTCAGCTGACCCTGGGACTCTGACAAAGGTGGGTGTTCGGGGTTTAATCCATAACCACAGGGTAGCCTTCTTTCTCCCACGGCATGCACCGGCTCTCAAGCTCAGGCACTCACCTGCGAGATGAGGAGCTGGCAGGAGGAGAGCTCCCGCCCCGTGACTTCCATCTTGCGATGACATTCCACCTGGAGGTTCTCCAGCTGCCGGCACCGCTTGACCACAGACTTGACCTCCGATTTGATTTTGCTGATGTAGAGTCGGGCCACAGTGAACTCCTCCTCGATGGCCCCGCTGATCTCCACTGGCTGTGGGGGACAAAGGAATAAAAGACACTTCTCTGCTGCAGGGGGGGCCTCTACCCATTCCCTTCTACCTTCCGCCTACCCCCACACCCACATGTACAGGGACTCAAGTGGGATAGGGATTTTCTGAAAACCTTTAGCAGCAATTGCCTGGCATTTCATGCTAAATCCTTCTATTTGCATTTAAAAATTGAGTTCTGACAGCCCTCTTTCTTCTACCTTATAAAGCAATGTGATTTTATTTTTTTATTTTTAAATAAATTTCTGCTTTTTTAAAAATTTTGTTTTGTTTTCAGTTTTGCTATAGGGAGTGTGCGCTCACTGGAGAGAGACAGAGAGAGAAGCGAAAAATCACCTCCCATGGGGGGATGGCCACTTTGCAATCTCTCTCCTCCACTCTCCCCTTGGGGTTTAGGGCATGCACACACATGTGCCTGGCATGTTTTTCAAGCCGCTGGGTCCAGGACTCAAACTGCATAATCAGCCATGTGGGATCCAGCCACCTTCACCACTGCCTGGCCCATATTGTGACTTTCTTGTAGAGGCAAAATGATCTGCTTGATTGCCCAGATCAGTCATTCTGATTTCCATACATTTGCAAGTCATTCCCAACTCCGCCTTCACCTCTAAATCCTGCTTCAAGCACATGCCCATTGTCTCTTTTTTTTGGAGAGGTTTTTGCTATAGGGCACATGCCCTTGCCAGAAAGACAGAGAGAGACAGAGTGACAGAAAGCAAGAAATCACCCCCCAGGGGGATGGCCACGCTGCAATCTCTTCTCCTCCATTCTCCTCTCGGGAGCTTGGGCACGCACGCACACGCACCCGGCATGAGTTTAAGCCACTGGGTCTGGGACTCGAACCATGGTCAACTATGTGGGAGTCTAGCGACATAGCCATTACACTAACTGCTGGTCCCCTCATTGTCTCTTTATTCAGTATTGTTTAGAATGTCTTCACCCTTGTACTTGTTTTCCTGTGTCTAATTTGAAGGCCTGTTTCCTGGCTCTTTGGCTGGCTTCCTCAGTACAGTATTCCTGAGGACCTGGATCATCCCACCTTGCATCTCCCACCAATGCCCAGAACAAGAACGCCCTGAGTAAGGCTGCTACCTCTCCCCACTCACCAGCTTAATCTCCCCGTTGCCCACGATGACACTGAACTCACTCAGGTCCTTCATCAGCCCGTTCAGCACCTCAGCAATTCGTTTTCGCTGGTGTCCACTGACCTCCTGGAGCCGCTGCAACTCAGTCTCCAGAGACAGCATGGTGGCCTAGGGACAGCCCCGTAGGTCACTGCCATCACCATCCTCCTCCTTCCCTCCCCATCCCAGACAGGGGCCTATTGCTTCATGCATGACACTGAAGGCTGCTACAAAGAGCACGCAGTCCCTATAGAACAGTGTGAAGAGAGAGGGGTCAGGAAGACAAAGTGGAGTGACAGGGTCGGGGAGGGTCTCACAGCCTACTGGACGCAGGGCAGAGGTGCCACCACACAACCCTGTGAGGATGTGGAGGGCCCGTGGCCACGGAGGGTGTTGGGAGGTCAGGGAGTGCTTGGACCCCTGTAGGCCACTCACCACTTTCTGCGACAGCTCATCCACCAGAAGCTGGTTCTGCTGGCTCTTTTCCTCCACCTCCTGGGACTTCTGGTCGTAGTTCACTGCCAGCTCCTCCAGTGCCTGGAGCACTTCCTTCACCTCATCCTTGGCAGCGTCGTTCTCTGACTGCAGGTGGCTCAGCTCCCGCTGGACCTTCTCATTGTCTCCTCGAGTGGACACCAGCAGCTTCGAGATAGAGGAGGGGCAAGTGAGAGAGCTCGCTGCCACACCTATGGCCGCTTGGTCTGGGGAAGCTGAACCCGCGCCCAAAGCAAAAGTTAAAGGGGAGTGGGCTCTACGTTTCATAGAAATGGAAAGAAGCCACACCTAGACCAAACCTGTACTTGAAGAAAAGCCCTGAAAAGTTCCCAGACTTCTTGGTTTTGAGGGATGACTAGCCCCTAAGAACACCCTTGCCATCTGATCTTTAAAGGTTTTGTTTTTGTTTTATGCCTTCAAGAAATGAACACAAATCCCTGTCTTCTCCCATCCTGCCCTCCCTCCCATTACCTCCTCCTGGTCCAGCATTTGCTGCTTGAGCTTCTCTATGAGTTGGCTCTGCTGGTTGATCTCATCATCCTGTTGAAAACAAGGGGAACGACGGGTGAAGGGAACTATGTCGTCCCATTTAGAGCTAGGGGGTTACGGGTAGAGGTAAGACCCTGAAAAAATGTCAGATTGTTTAACTTTGAGTTTGAAACCCCATGTCCTGGGGCCAGTAGATGGCGTAGCAGTTACACCACCGGACTCCCATGGCTGACTATGGTTCCGAGTCCCAGACCTGGTGGCTTAAAACTCACACCAGGCATGTGCGCGTGTGCACCCCAGATCCCAGGAGGAGAATGGAGGAGAAGGGATTGTGGCATGGCCGTCCCCCCAGGGGGATGATTTCTCACTTTCCCTCTCATTGTCTCTTTCTCTCTCTCCAGTGAGCTAAGGCAAAAACCTCTTAAAAAAAAATCCATGTCCTAAAGAGAGGTCTTTTCCTCCACAACTTTCCACAACACCAGCGCTCACCTTTGAATTGCTTTCTTCCTGGAAGTTAGTGTATAACCTTTATAATACCCAGCAAAGCTTTTTACATGTTCATATCCTTTCATCTAAAAATCCTCCTCTTGGGGCTGGCAGGTAGCGTGGTGGCTGAGGGTGCTGGACTCACACATGGCTGACCGCGGTTTGAGTCCTGGACCTGGCAGCTTCTTTCCCGCTTTCCCTCTCTCTCTCTCTCTCTCTCTTTCTGGTCAAATTAAAATAAATCAATAAAGTTAAATAACACAATTCTTTTTTAAAAAAATCCTGCTTGGGAGACCAGCGAGTGGTGTGGTGGTTAAGGAGCTGGACACTTCCACATGGGCAACCACGCTTCCAGTCCCGGACCTGGTGCCTTGCTTTCTCTCTCTCTCTCTCTCTCTGGTCAAATTAAAATAAATAAATAAAATTAAATAACTTTTAAAAAATCCTACTCTAGGGGCCAGCAGGTGGCATGGTAGTTAAGGTGCTAGACTCCCATATGGCCTACTGTGGTTTGAGTCCCGGACCGGGTGGCTTGCTTTCTCATTTTCCCTCTCTGTCTCTCTCTTGTCAAATAAAAATAAATAAATAAATGAAAAATAATGGATAAGATTAGATAAAATGATTCTTTAAAAATCCTACTTTATTACTCCATTCTATGTAAGTCATTCAAAAATGAAGTCTCATGCATATTAGGCAAAGAATCATTTCACAGTTATTTATAATAGTAAAAACAACAACAAAATCACAAACCCTATAATAAGTGAATGGTTAAATACATTTTGATAAATGTACTCTTAGATAGCCATTTAAAGATACTTTTATGCGAACAGTGGATAGTATGGTAGTTAAGGTGCTGGATCTCACATAGCCAACTCCATGGTTTCAGCCTCAGACCCAGTGGCCTGAAAAGCATACACGTGCCTGCCCCACAAGCATTCCTCCAAGAGAATGAAGAGGGGACTACGGTTTGGCCATCCTCCCAGAGGACTGATTTCTCACTTTCTCTCTTCCGTCTCTCTCCAGTGAGCACACAAACCCTATGGTAAAAATCTAAAAATAATAATATAGTTTATAAATTTTTTAATTTATATGTTTTTAAGGTTTTTGCCTTGGGGGCACACATTCACCAGAGAGGAGAAAGATAGTAAGAGGGAAAGTGAGAAATCACCCCCTGCCCCAGGGGCGACGGCCATGCCACAATCCCTTTACTCCATTATCCTCCTGGGATTTGGGGCATGCACACACCCGCCCAGTGTGATTTTCAAGCTGTCAGGTCAGGACTTGAACCATGGTCGGCTGTGTGGGATTCCAGTGCCTTAACCACTACACTACCTGCTGGTCCCTTTCATTTTTCATTTGTATACTACATAGGCAATTTATGTTTGTTTTGCCAGAGGATGTGCTCACTAGAGAGAGAAAGAGATGCCTGAATGGAGCATGGCCGCACTGTAATTCTTTTTCCTTCATTTCTCCACCCAGTCAGAGTCGGGCACGCATACACACATGCACTCAGTGCGGTTTTTTCCTCGCTGCCAGGGCTAAGATTCACACTGCAGTTGGTCATGAGGGGTTAGGCTTCTTATGCCACCATGCTGTCTCTGGAGACTGAGCTGCAGCACCTCCAGCAGGCCAGTAGACACCAGCAAAAATGAATTGCCAAGGTGCTTCACAGGCTGATGAAAGACCTGAGCAAGTTCAGTGTCACCGCTGGCAACGGGGAGATTAGCTGGTGAGTGAGGAGAGGTCACTGCACTGCAGGGCTGGCCTTACATTTCTTTTCCTGTGATTTTTTTTTGGGGGGGGCATTTTTCTATTAGGTTATCTTTTTCTTATTGACTATGAGATTTCTTTATGTATTCTGGGTAAAGATTCTTTTTTTTTTAAGAGGTTTTTGCCTTAGAGTGTGTGTGCCTGCCAGAGAGACAGAGACAGAGACAGTAAGAGGGAAAGTGAGAAATGATCTCCCAAGGGGGATGGCCACACTGCAATCCCTTTTCCTCCATTCTCCTCCCTGGACCTTGGGCATGCACACACACACACACCAGTCCAATTTTTAAGTCATTGAGTCCAGGACTCAACCCACGGTGGATCATGTGGGAGTGCAGCAGCATAACTGCTACGCCACCTGCTAGTCCCCGGGTAAGCATTCTTTGTTATGTGTGAAGCAATGACCTTCCCTTCTGTGACTTGCCTTTATTCTCTCTCAATATTGGAAATGTTATTTTTTTTATTTTTTTAGGAATTGTTTTATTTAACTTTATTTTATTTATGTATTTATTTTACTTTGACCAGAGAGGGACAGAATGAGAGAGAGAGAAAAAAAGAAGTGAGAAAGCAAACTACCAGGCCCAGGACTCAAACAGCCATGTGGCAGTCCAGCATCTTTAACCACCACGCCACCTGCCAGCTCCAGTGATGAAAATTTTAAATCAAAAAATAAAATAAAGTGAAAGGCAGTCCAGGCTGCTCTCTGCAGTCCCTCGCCTTTCCTCCCACTAGCGCCCCCCTGTGCCTGCCTGGATGCCCTCACCTTGTCGTCCAGCTGCTTATAGAGGCGGCGGATCTCCTCCTCGTATTTCTGCCGCTCCTCAGGCGCGATGCGCACCACGATGGACGAGTTGTCGTTCACGGGGGTCTCCTCGCAGAGCTCGGCTCCCAAGACTGCATCCTCCCCAGCCAGACGCTCGGTCTCAGGCACATTCTCTCCTGGCAGAGGGGAAGAACAGGTGAGGGATGGAAGAGAAAGCTGAACCTGCAAGTCCTTCTTTCCTTGTGCCCACTGCCAAGCCCTTGAGGCCCCATCTATTACCAAGTGGACCTTCAACCTTTTCAGGGGTTACAGGGAGGGAAGGTATTCAGCCCCTCTCTCCCTTCTCTCATGATCGTTTACTGCACCCCTCCAGAACAACAGTTCTCCTTCCTGGAGACTGGCCTGACCTTAAGCAGCTCCTAGACAGGGCTGGTTCCCTGATGCCGCGACTCCCCAACCCGCTCCAGACCCACAGCATCCCTGCCCTAACCATTGCGCCACCGGCTCAGCTCGGCCTCCAGCTTTGCAATGGTCTCCTTCTGGGCCTTTGTCTTCTCCTTCTCCTTCTCATACTTCTTCTTCCACTGCTCGGCAGTCAGCTCCAGATTCACTGAGGCAGTGTTCTTAATGGTCTTTGCCCTGGGTGAAGAGCAGAGGAACAGAAATGAGACCTAGGCTTGGGTGACACTGGAAAGGGAGAGCTGCGAGAGCCGGGGCGGCAGCTGGGGCCACTGACCGCTGCCCAAACATCAGCGTGGACTTGGTCTCCGCATCGTTGTAACTGGATGGGGAGCAGCAGATGAACATGGTGGTGCGGCAGTTCCCCCCCAGAGAGTCCTGGAGAATCCGCGTCATTTTGCTGTCCCGGTATGGAACGTAGCTTTTCTGGGGGCAGAGGGAAACCATGAGTCAGAAAAATAAAGTTAATGGGGATCAGGCAGGAGAGGGGGGTTGGCTGGGGGATCAAGCAGCCCATGGATTGGGGCATGACTGGGTGGGGCACCAGGGGAAAGTGGGGAGGTGGGCAAACTCAGGTACAGGGACCCCAGCAACACTCACAGTGCCCTCGGCCAGCGCGGAGATCACATTCCCCAGGGCAGACAGGGACTTGTTGATATTCTTTGCCTCGTCCAGCACAGCTCCCTCCGCTCCAGTTTTGCTGACCTGCCAAGGCATGAGGGGAGTGCGTCATGAGAAGCCACGGAGGCTGTCACCCCCTCTTTCCCACTTCCCAGGGCTCTATCCAAGGAGAAGGGAGGAAATGGGAAACGGAATAAAGGAGATGCTGTCGGCATCCGGGAAGGCCCTTCCTCTGTGCCCCGAAACTCTTCACCAAAGGCCACCCCTACTCAACCCCCACTGCCTGCCACATTTTAATATCATACATTCCATGATCTGAAATGTTCAGGGTAGGCAAACCCATAGGCAGAAAGTAGACAAGTGGCTGATGAGGGCGGGGAGAATGCAGCGACTATTAATGGTGACAAAACGTTCTGGGAGTAGATGGTGGGGAGAGCTGCACAACCTTGCAAATATGCTGAGCAGCACTGCATTGCACACTTTAAAGTTGTGGTCTTGGGACCAGCAGTTGGCGTAACGGCTACGTCGCTGGACTCCCATGTAGTTGACCACATTCGAGTCCCAGACCTGGTGGCTTAAACTCACACCGGGTGCGTGTGTGTATATGCCCAAGATCTTGAGAGGAGAACGGAGGAGAGGGGATTGTGGCATGGTCATCCCCCCCCCACGGGATGATTTCTTGCTTTCTGTCTGTCTCTGTCTTTCTGGCGAGCATATGTGCCCTATAGCAAAAACTTCTCAAAAAAAAAATAAATAAAATAAAGTTGTGGACTTTATAGTATGTGAATTATATCTCAATTAAAATTTTTTTATTTAATAAAAATGGGCCATCCCCTAAGACCTTCTTCCCTACCCACCCACCCTATCCCACTGGACCCCCGACCTTCTCACTCCCTGCCAGGTCCACTAGATACAGCTTCCCACTGAGCTTCTGCTCGGTCTCTATGTTCTCCTGCTTGATGTTGATGAGGAAGATGCTATGGCTCCGAGAGCTGTGTTCATTCATGTCTACAGGAGCGAGGAGAGAGGACCTGCACCAGCAATCCCTGTGCCACAGAAGCCACACCCTGCCCGCAGCGGCTGGCCCTGCCACTCCCTCTCCCAGACAGACAAGGGTGGCCCTCTCTGGAGGGCGCAGCCTTTCCTTGCTTACTTTCGAGTCCCTGTGCCCCCGGAGGCACACAAGCAGGCAGATTCCCAGACTCAAGAACCCTTCTATCCCCACTCACTGGTGACGGCCACATGACGATTTGACTTCCCCTCATCGATCACATCCAGAATCTCCTCCGGGCTGGACACAAAGCGCTCAGTACAGCCCTGCAGGGGGCAAATGGACGGTGACCCGCAAACTCTTTGCAAATTGCCTGGATGCTGACCAAATGGCCTTTTAAGACAGTGTCTTTTCCAGGCCCCCGACTCCCTGGACCCTCAGCACACTCACCCCTCCAGGATATTCACCTCCAGCTGCTGGGTCACTGACCCTTTGTCCTCCCTCGCCCACAGTCTCGATACACTGCCCCTCACAGGTGCCCCCCTCGCCCTCACCTTGACAAATGGCACTCGGTTCTTGTCCTCATGCACAGACAGATTCGTCTTGGTCACTGAATTAAGACAACGCAGCGTGAGCAAGGCCAGCACTTCCACCCCAGCCCCTCTGCACCCTGCAGTCCATTCGGGTGGTGGTTCTTCTACGTGCTAAAGACAGGAAGTTTTCCCCTATGAAGCCTCAACTGCCTCAACTGCACTTAGGCTCTTCCTCTTCCTTCTCAGGTCCAGCCCCATGGCTCTGGCTCCCCTCAGGCTGTTTAGATGTAGGCTTGGCCTTTAAGCCCATCTCTGACCCTCTCAGTTTTTAGAAATTGTTGCTGAGATGAGTCAAAGGAGTTGGGTACAAGCGTGTGTGTCCTTGTGCCTTCTGCATCTCTTTGCAAAAAGTACCTAATCCCAAGGGTATTATGATCTGTCTTTGCCTCATCCTCCTCATACACCCTCACCCGCTGGGGTTACATTCTTACCATCCAGAAGGTCACGGATTTTGTCCAGGTAAATCTCAAAGTAAGAAACCTAGCAAAGGAAAAAGAAGGAGTATGAAGTGAAGAGGGCCTACCCAAAATGTGACACGGAAATTCCAAGCTACTGTGACCTGCTCAAATGGTGGTGGTGGGATGGGGACGAGCAGACGACAGCATCTTCACAAAGGGAGGGAGCCAAGGTAACCACAGGGGAAGGGCAAAGCTGGAGAGGCCAGGATCATAATGGGTTCACACTGATCTATTCCTGCCTGAGGATGCCTGGCTGTCATCCCCTATCACCTTGATGTGGAACTCGAGGTTCTCATCCATGGAGTAGATGTGGTTGAAGATGTCTCGGGCAATTCGAGGAATGATTCCCATCAGCTGGGGGTCGTGCAGCTTTCCCTGGGAAGTGAGGTATTTCAGAGTGAGGCTGGGGCTCAGTAAGAACAAGACAGCCCAGAAGTGTGCAGGTGAGCATAGCTGTTAAGAGTTGGTAAGATCAGGATCAGCAGATGGCATAATGGTTATGTCATTGGACTCCAACGTATTTGACCGTGGTTCGAGTCCCAGAACCAGCAGCTTAAAACTCACACCGGGGGACCAGCAGATGGCATAATAGCTACGTTTCTGGACTCTCATTTAGTTGACCATGGTTCGAGTCCCAGACCTAGTGGCTTAAACTCATGCTGGGCACGTGTGCGTGCGTGCCCAAGATCCCGAGAAGAAAATGGAGGAGAAGGGATTGCAGCGTGACCATCCCCCAGGGGGTGATTTCTCACTTTCTGTCTCTCTGTCTCTCTCTGTCTTTCTGGTGAGTGCATGTGTCCTATAGTAAAAACCTCTCAAAAAATAAAAGAAAAAAGAAAAAAAAAAAACTCATGCTGGGCATGTATGCATGATGTGTGTCCCAAATCCCAAGGGGAGAATGGAGGAAAAGGGACTGAGACATGGCCATCCCCCCCCCGGTGGATGATTTCTCTGTCTCTCCAGTGAGCACATACACCTTGTAGCAAAAATCTCTCTAAAAAAAAAAAAAAGAGTTGGTAAGATCATCCTACGTTGGGAGATGGTCACCAGCAGGTCTACTCTAGGAGGAAATAGCTGAGCAGCCCTTGAACTTCCATTGCTGTAGCTTTTGCAGCTTTTGCAGAACAAATGAAGAAAACTGGAAGGCCAGACCCATGGACTAGTGGCTAAGGGAACTGGATCCCACATGGCTGACCAAAGTTTGAATCTCAGGCCTGGCAGCGTGAAAAACACACCAGGCAGGACCAGCAGATGGTGTGATGGTTATATCACTGGACTCGCACGTAGTCGACCGTGGTTTGAGTCCCAGACCTGGCATCTTACACTCACACCAGGCACGTATGCATGCATGCCCAAAATCCCGAGAGGGGAAAGGAGAAGAGATTGTAAGGTGGCCATTCCTCCTGGGTGGTGATTTCTCACTTTCTATCTCTCTTTCTCTGGTGAGTGCTCACACCCTATAGCAAAAATTTATCTTAAAAAGATAGAGAGAGAGAGAAAGAAAGAAAAAAAACATACCAGACATGTATGAGTGCATGCCCAAAATCCCAACAAGTTGAAAAATGGAGAAGGGATTACAGCGTGATCATGCCCCACGGTGGGGGGTGTTTTCTCCCACTGCCTCTCTCTGTCTCTCTTTGGTGAGTACACAAACCCTCTGGCAATTAAAAATAAAATAAAAAGAAGAAAAGTAGTAGGAAGCAGGGTGAACTGCAGCAGGTTGAAGGAACTCCATTAAATGTCCCTGTCACATTGCCCTTCAGTTGATATTCTGTATCCATCTAGACCAGGCCATGTTTAATCCCTGGAACTTTCTCCACTGAGATTCCTTGATCTTCCTGGCTCCTCACCACACACAGATGCCGGGACTCTCACCTCCATGGTATGTGTTTTCCCTGAGGATGTCTGCCCATAAGCAAAAATGGTGCCATTGTAGCCAGCAAGGACATCTGGAAGAGAAGGTAGAGAAAGAGCACTGGTGGAGATAAGCTGGATAGACAATGGGGAACCTGAGAGAGCACACTCTAAAAACACATCCATTACCTTTGACAATCTGCATAGCGCAGGCATGGTAAACTTGCTCCTGAGTCGTGTTTGGGGGGAACACACGGTCAAAGACATATGGTTTACCCTGGAGTGAAAATAAAAGAAGTCAGACATGAGCAGGCAGACCGTGAGCAAAAAGAAATACCAGCCTCCCTCCATCAGACTGAGAAAGACAGCCATCCTTCAACCCTCCATATACACGGACAGTTTGGGGACGAGAGAAACTAGAGAGAAAAGCAAAGTTTAGTACTGACACCAGGAGCGTGTGTGTGGCAGTGTCCCATAGAAGTATCACACGGCAAGACTGGAAGAGGGGATCTTAGTCCCAGTGGGATGACTGGCACTCCACCACCCCCCATCCCTCCCTGGGAGACCAAATGAGAAGTGACAACGGGACCACAGGCTATGGAAAGCGCCTCTGAGTTTAGTAATATCTTCCTCAATAGTTCCGTATGTCTTGATATAGAAAGATCTTCCAGATACATTAAGTGAAAGAGGCAAAGTTAGTAACAGTACGTATGCTCCTTCATCTGTAAATAAAACATACATACAACAAGCGCTGCCGTGGAAACACTGACACAAGCTATCTGTGAAAGGAATATATAAAATCAGAAACACGGGCCTCCCTTGCATCAGTGTATGTAGCTTTTCTAGATGGAATTATATGAAAGTGTTACTAGTGGTTACTTTGGATAGAGAAATCAAGAGAAGGGAATCAACTTTAATTAAAGGGAAACCGTGAAGTAAATTAGTCAGATCTACAAGTATGATTGATCCTACACCCATGGCTTCTGCATATATGAATTCAACTAATCACAACTCAAAACATAAAATTTGGGGGGGGTCCAGCAGTTAGTGTAATGGCTATGTCGCTTGACTCCCATGTAGTCGACCATGGTTCAAGTCCCAGACCCGGTGGCTTAAACTCACACCAGGCGTATGTGCATGAGTGCCCCAAATCCCAAGAGAATGGAGGAGAAGGGATTGTGGCATGGCCATCCTACTTGGGGGGTGATTTCTCACTTTCTGTCTCTGTCTCTCTCTGTCTTTCTGGTGAATGCACGAGTCCTATAGCAAAAAACTCTCGAAAAAAATTTTTTTTAATTTGCTGAGGCACATGTGCTCACCGAAGATGGAGGGTGAAAAAGAACTCACTAGGGGAGATGACAAAGCCACAATCCCTTCTCCATTCTCCACTCTGGATTTCTGGCACTTACGCCACATATGGCATGTTTTCCAAACTGCTGGGTCCAGGACTCGAACTGTACAGTCGGCAATGTGGGGTCCAGTCACCTTAACCACCATACCACCTGGCTGGCCTTCAAAACTATTTTTAAATAGGGCTGGCTCAGTAATGTGCTACTTAAGAGAAGCTGAATCCCATGTGGCAACCACGGTGTGAATCCTTGGTCAGGTCAGCCTGAAACATACCAGGCACTTGCCAGATTCAATGGGCTGGAGGACTGAGGAAGGGGACTGCAGGGTGCCCAGACCCTGTGGAGGGTGCTCATCTCTCTCCCTCTCTCTCTCGCTTCCTTGCGCTCTCTTGTGTGCACATGCATGCACTCTATCATACATTTGTAAAAAAACTGTATTTTTAAGAAGATTCAAAATAACAATACAAAAATTTAAAAATCCAGTGTAACTATTGACACAGCATTTACACTGTATCAGATATTATAGGTAACTTAGAGATGACTTAAAATATACAGAGGGACACATGTAGGTAACATGCAAATACTATACCATTTTACTAGTGTTTGTTTGTTTTTTGAGAGGTTTTTGCTATAGGGCACACATGTTCGCCAGAAAGACAGAGAGAGATAGAGAGACAGAAAGTGAGAAATCACCCCCCCAGGGGGGATGGTCACGCCGCAATCCCTTCTCCTCTATCCTCCTCTTGGGATCTTGGGCACGCACGCACACGCACCCGGTGTGAGTTTTAAGCCACTGGGTCCGGGACTTGAACCATGGTCAACTACATGGCAGTCCAGCAATGTAACCATTACGCCATCTTCTGGTCCCTATTTTATTAGTTTTTTAAATAATTTTTTAAAATTTAATTCCACTCATTATTATTTTTTAATTTGACCAGAGAGAGACAGAGAAAGGGAAAGTGAGAAAGCAAGCCATCAGGTCCAGGACTCAAACCATAGTCAGCCATGTGGGAACCCAGTGCCTTTAACCACCAACTGCTGGCCTTCACCCTTTTTTTTTTTTTTAACCTTAGGTCACATGTACTCACTGGAAGGCAAGAGAGACAGGGACAGTGAGGAGGAAACTGAGAAATAAACCCTGAGAGGGGATGGCCTCGCTGCAATCCTCTCTCCTCCACTCTTCTCCCAGGATCTTGGGCATGAGCATGCACACGCACACGCTCGTGTACACCCAACATGAATTTTAAGTCTAGACTCAAACCACAGGCAGCCATGTGGGAGTCCAACAACGTAACCACTGCACTGTCTGCTGGTCCACTATACCATTTTATATAAGGGATTTAAGCATCCACATATTTTGGTATTTGCAGAGGTAGGATTGGTCCGGAACCAGTCCCCCACAGGTACCAATAGATATACTTTTTTTTTTTGAGAGAGAGGTTTTTGCTATAGGGCGCATGCACTTGCCAGAAGGCCAGAGTCAGAGAGACAGAAAGCAAGAAATCACCCCCCAGGGGGGATGGCCATGCCGTAATCCCTTCTCCTCCATTTTCCTCTTTGGATCTTGGGCACGCACGCACTTAAGCCACCAGGTCTGGGATTTGAACTGTGGTCAACTACATGGGAGTCCAGCAACATAGCCATTATGCCAACGGCTGGGGGCGGGGAGACTATAGTTTCTAAAAAAAAATTTTTGGAGAGATTTTCACTGTAGGGCGCGTGCGCTCGCCAGACAGACAGAGAGAGACATAGAGACAGAAAGCGAGAAATCACCCCCCAGGGGGGATGGTCACGCCACAATCCCTTCTCCTCCATTCTCCTCTCGGGATCTTGGGCACGCACGCACACGCGCCCGGCGTGAGTTTTAAGCCACCGGGTCCGGGACACGAACCACGGTCGACTACGTGGGAGTCCAGCGACATAGCCATTACGCTAACTGCTGGTTCCCAGGGATGACTATACTTTAACTCAAGTAAATATGTTGTAAATCAGATGTGCTGATAAGGATGCTAAAGATGCAAAATATTGACAATTCAGGGAGCTAAACAAAGAATATATTTGATGTCTAATCATATTAAAGTAGGATCTCCAGTAAGATTAAATGAGACTGTTCTCCAGCATAAGCAACTTCTCAGTAGTGTTTTTCTGTTATTCAAATGACTTTGTGAAAGGAATATATGAAATAAGAAATACGGGCCCAACACATTTCAAAAAGCTTTACTACAGAGTCTATCGTTACCTAACCAAAATGTCAACCTCCATGTCTACAGATACCAGAGTTCAGAAGACACTTCCGTCTTGTTATTGTTTTACTATAGGGCATATCTACTCGCCGGAGAGAGACAGAGAGAGAGGGAAAGTGAGAAATCACATACACCCCCCACCCACCAGGGATGTGGCCAAGCACAATACCTTGTCCTCATCCTTTCCTCAGAATCGTGGGCATGCACACATATACATATGTCCAGCTTGTTTTTCCAGCTGTTAGGTCAAGGACTTGAATCGCATTATCACCCAGGTGGGATCTAGCTGCCTTAACACCCACGCCACCAGCTGGCCCAGGGGAGATATGTTTTAACTAATAAGTAAAGTTGTAAAACTTGGCTAGTGGTGGCCAGCTGGTGGCATGGTGGTTAAGATTCTGGACTCCCACCTGGTCAACCACGATTCAAGTCCCATATTTGGTGGTTTGAAAAATCACACACAAGTACGTGTGCATGCCCAAAAGCCCAGGAGGAAAATGGAGAAGAAGGGATTTTAGCGTAGCCATTCCCCCATGGGGTTGATTTCTCCCTTCCCCTCACTGTCTCTCTCTGATGAGCACACACGTCCTATGGCAAAAACCTTAACAACAAAAAAAAATGGCTAGAGGGCCAGCCAATTAGCATAATGGCTATGACATTGGACTCCCATGTAGTTGACCACAATTTGAGTCCTGGATTCGATGGCTTAAGTGCATGTATGCCCAAGATCCCGAGAGGAGAATGGAGGAGAAGGGATTGTGGCACGGCCGTCCCCCATGGGGGATGATTTCTCGCTTTCTGTCTCTATCTTCCTGGTGAGTGCACGCACCCTATAGCCAATGCTGGAGAGGGATTGCAGCGTGGCCATTCCCCCTAGAAAGTGATTTCTCACTTTGTCTTTCTGTGTCTCTCTCTCTGTCTCTCTCTGTTTCTCCAGCAAGTGCATGTGCCCTGTAGAAAAAAAAAAAAAAAAAAAAAAACTCTAAAAACAAAGAAAAGAAAGTGGGTGGATAGTCAGAATAGTCTCAGAGAACAGATATGGGAGACTATACACCAAAGTCCTAACGGTAACTGTCCAGTGACATTACTGGAGAGCAGAGTGACAGGAACTCAGAAACTTATACTTTCTGCACTTTATCTGTGATATTTAAATGCTTTATAGTGACTACACGTTGCTTTTTTTTTAAATATAGGATCTTACCATGTCATGATTCTACTGCCTTAGGTTCTCCAGTCACTGAGATTACAGGAATGCTGCCATACCTGGCCCTTCGGTTGGGCTGGGAATCAAACCCACACCTTTACGTAGTCCCAGCCTACAGAGCACAGTGTCTTAATAGTGTGCTCCACCATGCCTGAGCCAACAGCAGTTAGATTTTAAATTAAACAGATATTATAGATGATGTTATGGAAGAATATGTCATGACATGACATTGTGTGCATAAAATACTGGTCACCAAAAAAAAATGTTGCTTTTTTTTAAATAACATGCAAGGGCCAGAAGGTGGCATGGAGGTTAAGGCACTAGATCCTATATGGCTGGCTGCATGGTTCTAGTCCCAGACATGACGTCTTGAATCATACTGGGTACATGTGCGCATGCCCAAAATTCTGAGAGGAGAATGGAAGAGAAGGAACTATGGTCTGGCTCTCTCCCCAGGGTTGTGATTTCTTACTTTCTCTCT